TTGTTTTGGTGTTTAGTGGGTATGGTTTGTTTGTGTTTAGTGGGTGATGGTGTTGTTTAGTGGGTGATGGTGTTGTTTTGCGTTTAGTGGGTGATGGTGTTGTTTGGTGTTTAGTTGGTGATGGTGTTGTTTAGTGGTGTGTGGTGTTGTTTTGGGGGGTGTTGTTGTTTGGGTGTGTTGGTTGGTTTGGGAGGTTTTGGGGTGTTGGGTTGGATGTTGTTTTGGTGTTTAGTGGGTGATGGTGTGTTTGGTTTGGGGGTGTGGTGATGGTGTTGTTTTGCGTTTAGTGGGTGATGGTGTTGTTTTGCGTTTAGTGGGTGATGGTGTTGTTTTGGTGTTTAGTGGGTGATGGTGTTGTTTTGGTTTAGTGGGTGATGGTGTTGTTTGGTGTTTAGTGGTGATGGTGTTGTTTTGTGTTTAGTGGGTGATGGTGTTGTTTTGCGTTTAGTGGGTGATGGTGTTGTTTTGGTTTAGTGGGTGATGGTGTTGTTTTGTGTTTAGTGGGTGATGGTGTTGTTTTGGTGTTTAGTGGTGATGGTGTTGTTTTTTGTTTAGGGTGATTTTAGTGGGATGGTGTTGTTTTGGTTTAGTGGGTGATGGTGTTGTTTTGTGTTTGTGGGATGGTGTGTTTTGGTTTAGTGGGTGATGTGTTTGGTTTGTGGTGATGGTGTTGTTTTGGTTTGGGTGTTAGGGTTGTTTTGGTTTAGGGGTGATGTGTTTTTGTTGTGGGTGTTAGTGGGTGAGGTGTTGTTTGGTGTTTAGTGGGTGATGGTGGTGTTTAGTGGGTGATGGTGTTGTTTTGGTTTAGGGTGGTGTGTGTTGTTTAGTGGGTGATGGTGTTGTTTTGGTGTTTAGTGGGTGATGGTGTTGTTTTGGGTTTAGGGTGATGGTGTTGTTTTGTGTTTAGTGGGTGATGGTGTTGTTTTGGTGTTAGGGTGATGGGTTGTTTGGTTTAGTGGTGATGGTGTTGTTTGGTTTAGTGGGTGATGGTGTTGTTTGGTGTTTAGTGGGTGATGGTGTTGTTTTGGGTTTAGTGGGTGATGGTGTTGTTTTGGTGTTTAGTGGTGATGGTGTGTTTTGGTGTTTAGTGGGTGATGGTGTTTTGGTGTTTAGTGGGTGATGGTGTTGTTTTAGTGTTTAGTGGTGATGGTGTTGTTTTGGTTTATGGTGATGGTGTTGTTTTGGTTTAGGGGTGATGGTGTTGTTTTGTGTGATGTGTTGTTTTGTGTGGTGGGTGATGGTGTTGTTTGTGTGTTTGGTTGTTTGTTAGGGTGATGGTGTTGTTTTGGTGTTTAGTGGTGATGGTGTTGGTGTTTAGTGGTGATGGTGTTGTTTTTGGTGTTTAGTGGGTGATGGTGTTGTTTGGTGTTTAGTGGGTGATGGTGTTGTTTTGCGTTTAGTGGTGATGGTGTTGTTTTGTGTTTAGTGGGTGATGGTGTTGTTTTGGTGTTTAGTGGGTGATGGTGTTGTTTTGGTGTTTAGTGGGTGATGGTGTTGTTTTGTGTTTAGTGGGTGATGGTGTTGTTTTGTGTTTAGTGGGTGATGGTGTTGTTTTGGTGTTTAGTGGGTGATGGTGTTGTTTAGTGGTGATGGTGTTGTTTTGTGTGTTGTTTTTGTGTTTAGTGGGTGATGGTGTTGTTTGGTGTTTAGTGGGTGATGGTGTTGTTTTGTGTTTAGTGGGTGATGGTGTTGTTTTGTGTTTAGTGGGTGATGGTGTTGTTTTGGTGTTTAGTGGGTGATGGTGTTGTTTTGCGTTTAGGTGATGGTTGTTTTGCGTTTAGTGGGTGATGGTGTTGTTTTGGTGTTTAGTGGGTGATGGTGTTGTTTTGTGTTTAGGGGTGATGGTGTTGTTTGGTTTAGTGGGATGGTGTTGTTTGGTTTAGTGGGTTGTGTAGTGGGATGGTGTTTTGGTGTTTAGTGGGTGATGGTGTTGTTTTGGTGTTTAGTGGGTGATGGTGTTGTTTGTGTTTAGTGGGTGATGGTGTGTTTGGTTTAGTGGGTGATGGTGTTGTTTTGGTGTGATGGTGTTGTTTTGTGTTTAGTGGGTGATGGGTTGTTTTGGTGTTTAGTGGGAGGTGTTGTTTTTGGTTTAGTGGGGATGGTGTTGTTTGGTTCAGTGGGTGATGGTTGTTTTGGTGTTTAGTGGGTGATGGTGTTGTTTTGTGTTTAGTGGGTGATGGTGTTGTTTTGGTGTTTAGTGGGTGATGGTGTTGTTTTGGTGTTTAGTGGGTGATGGTGTTTGGTGTTTAGTGGGTGATGGTGTTGTTTGGTGTTTAGTGGGTGATGGTGTTGTTTTGGTGTTTAGTGGGTGATGGTGTTGTTTTGGTGTTTAGTGGGTGATGGTGTTGTTTTGGTGTTTAGTGGGTGATGGTGTTGTTCGGTGGGTGATGGTGTTGTTTTGGTGTTTAGTGGGTGATGGTGTTGTTTGGTGTTTAGTGGGTGATGGTGTTGTTTAGTGGGTGATGGTGTTGTTTTGGTGTTTAGTGGGTGATGGTGATGGTGTTGTTTTGGTGTTTAGTGGGTGATGGTGTTGTTTTGGTGTTTAGTGGGTGATGGTGTTGTTTGGTGTTTAGTGGGTGATGGTGTTGTTTGGTGTTTAGTGGGTGATGGTGTTGTTTTGGTGTTTAGTGGGTGATGGTGTTGTTTTGGTGTTAGTGGGTGATGGTGTTGTTTTGGTGTTTAGTGGGTGATGGTGTTGTTTGGTGTTTGGGTGATGGTGTTGTTTAGTGGGTGATGGTGTTGTTTAGTGGGTGATGGTGTTGTTTTGGTGTTTAGTGGGTGATGGTGTTGTTTTGGTGTTTAGTGGGTGATGGTGTTGTTTTGGTGTTTAGTGGGTGATGGTGTTGTTTTGGTGTTTAGTGGGTGATGGTGTTGTTGTTTTGGTGTTTAGTGGGTGATGGTGTTGTTTTGGTGTTTAGTGGGTGATGGTGTTGTTTGGTGTTTAGTGGGTGATGGTGTTGTTTGGTGTTTAGTGGGTGATGGTGTTGTTTTGGTGTTTAGTGGGTGATGGTGTTGTTTTGGTGTTTAGTGGGTGATGGTGTTGTTTTGGTGTTTAGTGGGTTATGGTGTTGTTTTGGTGTTTAGTGGGTGATGGTGTTGTTTTGGTGTTTAGTGGGTGATGGTGTTGTTTTGGTGTTTAGTGGGTGATGGTGTTGTTTTGGTGTTTAGTGGGTGATGGTGTTGTTTTGGTGTTTAGTGGGTTATGGAGTTGTTTTGGTGTTTAGTGGGTGATGGTGTAGTTTTGGTGTTTAGTGGGTGATGGTGTTGTTTTGGTGTTTAGTGGGTGATGGTGTTGTTTTGGTGTTTAGTGGGTGATGGTGTTGTTTTGGTGTTTAGTGGGTGATGGTGTTGTTTTCGGTGTTTAGTGGGTGATGGTGTTGTTCAGGTGAGGAGGGATCCATAAACAAGGGTTAATATTTGTCATTGGCTGTCTGCAAGTTTCCCACTTTCAATATTACAGACACAACGACTTGAAAAAAAACAAACATACGACTTCATATAATTTTCTTGTGCAAATTAATATTGACGGAGTATCTCACAAACTTCTACACATATATTTCTGTATCCGCCGTGTTGCCAGAGTCACTTGTTGTTAACCAAACCTAACCTTAATTAATATGAAAAACAAGCAGCAGAATCGTTGTCAGAAGACCTCACCAACCTAACCAAAAAAACCTGCCTAACCTTACCTAACTTCCTAGCCAAGTCCCTCGGACCCCCCATTATATTAAACAGAGAGAACTTACTATGATATGGTGTACTCTTTTTTTCTTTTTTTTTTGTGGACGTGAGAGCAGCCACCTGTACCGAACGGTTCATAAGCATACACTGAGCATCAGCGTTGATCCGGCCTGGGCGGCAGAGTGTTTTGAAATATGTCAATATGATCGGCTGTTTACATCCTGGGATGAGACGTCACCGCCACATTACCGCCGAGAAGACAAAGTAGTCGCACCAAGGTGCCTAATTATCTACCAAACAAAGCATTTGCACAAGAAATGATAATCATATCAGAACGCACTGAAGAAAATAGAGTAAGGAAATAAACAGTAATACAAATAACTCGTCCGTGGGTCAGTCATCAATATTTACTATTTTATCGATTAAAATACTCATAAGAATATAAATTTCCAGAGGAAACATTGTAGAATAAATTACAGGTATTTTTTTTTTAGTTTTTTCTCTTTCTCCCGATATAAGACTCAATATACAAGTAGGTGTTGGCAACTTCTAAATATTAACCCCTTGGTATTATTGCAGTTTCAGTCAATACACGGCCGATTGTTTTAACCATCCCCAACCTTCAGATTTCATTATCAGAAGTATTTCTAACCCCATTTCAACGAGGGGGCAAAGATTAATAACTTTAGGAATGAATTTTAAGGTTTTCCATGCTTTTACAACAGTCTATGGCCGCACGTTACTTATGCATGTGCTCTTTTGTCTGTTGTGGACTTTGGGGCATGTGCAGTAGGTTAGGTTACGTTATGTTTAGTTAGTTGAAATTAAGTTAGGTTAAGTTTCGTTACCTTTGGGGGGGGGGAACAATACGTGGCCGATTGCTTTAATCATCCCCAACTTTTACATCTCCATATTTGGAGTATTTATAACCCGATTTCAACCAGAGGGCAAAGAATAATAACATCAGAAATAAATTTTGAAGTTTTTCCATACTTTTTGGGAGGGATAACTCTAAAACGGGTACTTTCCCCCAGAAATAAAGGTCAAATTTGATTAAATAACACCAAAATACACAGGGTGAGCTAATTTATAAACTACTAATGCATATTGGCCGAAACTGCAATTTTACCCTCTTCTTGAATATGGGACTCACATTCCAATCACTGGCGACCTTTTGCTCATGCAGGCATTTACAGAACAGGATCTTCAGGGGCTCAGCAAGCTCGTTGCACAACTCTTAACCTTATTCCTTTAAATTACACCAAACATTTCATCTTACCTTTAAAATACATTTACTTGAGGCATCAGTTGGTACTTACTGTGCTGATGGCTTGTTAATCAAACTCACTCTAATGGATTTATGAACTTCTTAATCCTCAGTTTGTTGATAGTTATTGTTGTTGTTGTTGTTGTGAATCAGCTGTGGTCGGTTGTCCTCCATGCCTCACTTACGCTCTCTTTCTCTCTCTCTCTCGCTATTCATGCCTTCACTTACGGTTCCGTATACTGTACTGTGTTATCTCAGTATTTCAAATAGAAATGATACTAACAGGGTGTCTCATCTTTAGCTAAGGATAGCAATCAGTGCAGTGGGTGAAACATAATCAGGGGCGGATCCAGGAATATTAAAAGGAGGGGGGGTCCAAGAAGTTGAGGGTGGGGGAACATGGCGAGCATAGCGAGCCCACCCACCTGGGAGTGGGGGGTTGAAATCTGACCAATATCATGAGCAATTTGAGGCCATTTTGAAGCCTTGTGCATTTGATATTAGGAAATAATATGATGTCAATAATAATTATTTTGTGCTCCACAAAAACGCCTTAGTACAATATTACATTAATGAAAAAGTATTGGAATTTTCTGATGAAAAAAAGGAACGGACATGCACTGGCTCCTGGATGTATTTGAACCTACTCAAGTGGTGTTCAAGTCTGGTCTTGAAACAGCTCACAAGGGGTGACCTAATTGAGGTGTATAAGCATCTCAAGGGGCACTACTCAGTCGAGTGTCCTTACTTGGAGCTGGCGGACAAGGGGTCACAGCTCAAGATTGAAGAAGCCGCAAGTCCAGAAAACTGTGAGGGCAAACTTTTTCAGAGTGAGAGTTGCGAACTCTTGGAACAATCTACCAGAAAGTGTTGTGACGGCACCGAGTGTGAGTTCTTTCAAGACAAGACTTGACAAACACTGGAGCGGGTTCAGGTACATTCAGGAGCCGGTGCATGCCCAGTGTAAGACCTTGTAGTGGAATTCTCCCCTACAAACGCTGTTTGTCGCTGCCTAGCCGACCCCACCAATTCCCCAGTGTATGCCTCGTGGTCTAGGTCAACCAGCGCCGCCATACACCACGGAGCGGGGGTCAACTGCTAAGCCACGCCTACCCCCGCTATTTAAGACCTGACCTCGTGGTGATCTGCCTCTCCTTCTAACTACACCAACCAGCCAGCAACACCTCCGCCTGCCTGGCGGTCCTCCTCCTCCGCCTGCCTGGCGGTCCTCGCTCCCGCTGGCGAGCCACAAGCTGTCCTTCTCTGAGCGTCCTCACCAACCAGCTCTCTCTACATCACGCTTGTAACCATGCTGCCTTCCCAGCACCAAGCTGCATTGTACATCCAATACAACATGTATATAGAGAGCACATCGTGAGTTTCCTTTCTCCATTCCATCCTGAGTGTGAACCAAACATCCTGAACCCCACAACCTTAGAGCCAGCCAGGCGAGGGTACAGGGAGAGGATGTTTTTGAAGAGTCCAAGTGGTGTAAAATTAAATTAAAGGGAGGGGACTTACTTATCGTCGGGTGTATCTACAGATCCCCAAACTGTGGCCCACTAAATCAAAGGAACTTAAGAACCTTAATAAACAACGCGGCGATGCTCAACCCTAGCCACCTCCTTATCATGGGGGACTTTAACTATGGCGACATCGACTGGAGAAACGAGTCCACCCCGAATGACTTGAATAACCTGCTACTCTTTTTGTAGAAACTCTGAGAGATAATTTTCTGTTCCAACATGTTAGAGACCCGACACATTGCACAGAGGAGCAAACACCCAAGCCACTTGACCTCATCATAACAAACGAGGAGAGTATGGTGGCCAAACTGGAACACCTTGCCCAGTTGGCACCAGTCACCATATAGTGTTGTCATTCAGATTTAACTGTTACCTAGTTCGGGATAAGGCCAGGCCAAGGTGCAAATATTACAAGGGAAATTACAATGGGATGAGGGAAAAGATGAGGGGTATCAACTGGCCTGACTTATTAAGGTACAAGAAAGCAGACACTACGCTGAATATCATAACTAGTAAAATGACCCATTTGATCGATGAATATATACCCAAGACCAAACCCAGTGCTTCTAGGAATACGAGGGGATCCCTACACATGAACCATGCGGCGGTCGACAAAATTAAGAAGAAAACCCAGAAATTCAAGACGTGGGTTGGGTCAAACGATGAGCAAGACAGGAGGATGTATGCAAGAGCCAGAAACCAAGCAAAGATAGAGTGTCGGAGGGCTGAAAAGGAGTTCCAGAGGCTGGTTGCAAGCGAGGTCAAGTCAAACCCAAAGGCGTTTTACCGCTATGCAAAGTCGAAATTAAAAACGCGAGTAGGAGTATCAGACCTGAGGCTGGTGGATGGCAGTTACGCAGATTCTGACCAGGATAAAGCTGAGGCATTGAACAGCTTCTTTTCCTCGGTGTTCACAAGAGAGGATGTAACTAACCTTCCTGCATTTGGGGACAGACGGTTCGACACAGCACTGACCCACATTGTGTTTACAGAAGAGGGTGTTAGAAATAAACTGTCCAGGCTAAAGGTCCATAAGAGTCCCGGACCTGACATGGTGCATCCTAGTGCTAAGAGAGTTGTGCAACGAGCTTGCAGAGCCCCTGAAGATCCTGTTTTGTAAATGCCTGGAAGAACAAATGGTCCCCAGTGAATGGAAAGGGGCTTATGTGAATCCTATCTTCAAGAAGGGCGATCGTCACTCCACGAACAACTATAGACCAGTGAGCCTAACCAGCATAATATGTAAAGTACTTGAGAATATTATCAGAGATGCCACAATGGAACATCTAATGCGAAACAACCTTGTAAAAGATTGCCAACACGGTTTTATGCCGGGGCGCTCCTGCTTAACACAATTGCTCAAGGAATTGGATATTTGGACCCTTATTCTGGAACGGGGTGGTAATATCGACAATATTTACCTAGATTTTGCCAAGGCTTTCGACAGTGTACCACAAGAAAGGCTGAAAATCAAACTGGAAGGGTACGGAATTCGGGAAATGTCCTAGCGTGGATAGAAGATTTTCTACATGACAGCAAGCAGTGTGTGGTGATTAATGGCACGAAATCGTCATCTGTACCTGTCACAAGTGGGGTACCACTTTAAGGGCGCGTGTTTTCCAACACCTACACAACCCTTATCTTACTTACTTCACTGGTTACTGTATAACCTTAATTCTGTTTGGTAGTATGGTCATTCTTTTGGTAGCATGGTCGAGGGTCTAGGCACATGGGTATGGTAATTCTGGTATCAAGTCACTTGGACGGAAATAAAGGTAAAATACTGTGGGAGAAATGAATACACCTAAAATACTCTAAGAACAAGTTTATTAATATGAAATCAAAGGGGAAAAGATATATTATTAGCATATAACTACCAGGCTCACCTCCTGGGCTTATTGCAGACTCAGTACTTTCTTCTTTATTTATTTCATTTTACTTATTTTCTTATTTCTTTACTCAACAGTAATTACTTAGATCATACACTCTTACTGCACACAACCTTACTGGTGTTACATTACATGGCATAGCAGGACCAGTTCCTTGGCCCTACTTACAATACATAGTACATGGCACTCATTGTAGATTCGTGTACTTCTCACACCTACTGGTGGTACTGTAGTGGATTTCTCCCCTACAAACGCTGTTTGTCACTGAGTAGCCGACCCCGCAAATTCTCCAGTGTATGTCTCGTGGTCTGGGTCAACCAGTGCCGCCATACATCACGGAGGTCAACTACTAAGCCACGCCTACCCCCGCTATTTAAGACCTGACCTCGTGGTGACCTCTCTCTTCTTCTAGCTACAGCCGCAGCAAGCAACACCACCTCCTCCGCCGCTGCCTGGCGGCCCTTGCTCCCGCCGGCCAGCATGGCGACCCACAAGCTGTCCTCCTCTGAGCATCCTCACCAACCAGCTCTCTCTACACCACGCTTGTAACCACGCTGCCACTCCCCAGCACCAAGCTGCGTTGTACATCTAATACAACATGTATACAGAGAGCACATTGTCAGTTCCTTTCTCCATCCCATCCTGAGTGTGAACCCAGACAACCCATACCCCACAGTACGTGGCATTACAGTACAGATACAAGACTTTACTCATCATACACGTTAATACTGAAACCAGCCGATACATGGTGTCATGGTCATGTTGACTGCTGATCTATTTAACTAATGATTCTTATTAAATTCCACACCAGCAAAACATGAGTGAGTTAGCGACCCCTGAGAAGACGTGTTTTTTCCCCATAGACGCTACACTTGTGGTCCCTCCCAGAGTCCCGCCTTTGTGAAGACAGTTATCATTGTGTTGTTATTCCACTTTCTCCTGGGAAGCTCAATCTTGAATTAGTCTGTGTAAATCAACTCAAGTAATTCGCCAGACCTTTGTCAACTGAGGGTCATCTTTGAATGAGTAACAGTTAGTTTGTTTGTAATTATTGTCATTGCGTGAGTAGCGATCACTGGCAACTCAGGGGTATATATACCCCAAGATGAGCCAGGGAGAGTGCTCCTTGACACTGCTTCAATGTTTCTCCAGATCCCATAGTGATTCTGGCAACCATTCAACAACGGCCTCGGATGTAGTAGACGACCAGCAGGGATCATATATGAAACGATGGCACCGATGCGGCCTGATTAATGCGCCCCACGGCTTCGTTGGGCCAGACACTAGACCAGCCATGTGTCTGGCTACCCCACAATAACAACAGTCGTGAGCCCCAGTGCTCTACCCTGGGTTACTCCTTAGAAGTATATGTCCACAGAGAGTGTTGTAACATGTATGTTAGGGATAATTAGTTGGAAATAATTATCCCATGTTGGGTAGTGGACCCCTGTATATACTAGTGTCATTATTAACGTATATGTTGAGTAAGTACTGAGTCTGCAATAAGCCCAGGAGTTGAGCCTGGTAGTTATATGATTAATACAATATCTTTCCCCATTGATTGCATATTAATAAATTTGTTCTTAGAGTACTTTACGTGTATTCATTTCTCCCACAGTATTTTACCTTTATTTCCATCCAAGTGACTTGATACCAGAATTACCATACCCATGTGCCTAGACCCTCGACCATGCTACCAAAAGAATAGGTGACGGAACTGAGTAAGAGTAAGACTAAGAGAAGTAAGATGAA